ATTTTTTTTTAAAAATGCCCTATCTAGACCCCAAACAATTATTTTCGTTTGAGAAATGGTGTTCAAAAAGTGATCATTTTTTCGGCGCCATCCCAGGGAGTCAGGGGGATGTGCCCCTTTATGTTAGGGGGTTTGAAGGGGGTCGGTAGACCCACTCACCTCCAATACAGTTTTGGACTTGTGAGAGGCTAAAAATGACCTCAGGTGATTTTTGGCAATTTTGAGATGCCTCCTTATTACCATGGTAACAGGAATTTCAGATTGAGTATGCCGTTACAAAGGATATGGTCCAGTCAACACTTGTGCCAAGTTTGAACAGTATTGCAGCCTATTTTATAGATTCATAGCAGTTTGAACTTGTAACAGGAGGCTTTTCAATGATTTATTTTTCTTCACATTTTTCAAGTGCTCATGAAGTAAAGAGTGAAGGTATATGACTTAGGATGTATGCATGTTTTTAAGGCTTAATGAGGGTCCATCCGCCATTTCAGGCACTGAGAGTACAGATCCTGGACATGTCAATATGTCCTTAAGGTGACAACGGAGTCAATATTCACTGAAAATACCTAAAATGAGATTTTTTGCTTAGTAGATTTATCAACCTATACATCAAAATTGATGATATTATAGAATCAAACAAATGATTAGTCGGAACACTGATAACCCAAATTTATATGATTTTCTCATCACGGCATCTCTTGCTTGTCCAACTAATGTCTTGGTTTTAATAAAGGCAAATCTATGACGTAAAATGTCGCGCGAACGATTCGGTCAGATTGCAATATTTGATATTGCAACACGCTAAATGATTAGTTCATCAGAATTCTTTTGTTGACATTGCTAGAAAACAGCGTTACTGAAGGTGTAATTTCTGTTCCGTCTTAAAATGTTTAATTCGATTGTATTAAAAGAAACATTTAATTTAATTCTAATGGTCTGATAATCAAAAAACTTGTTTTTTGCATTAATTTGCATAAATTTGTTCGTTAATCATAGCGCTGTCATTGATTCAATCAAGTATCAATCAATACCCCAATGTAATATAAAAAATCACAACATTTATTACCAAAATATGATAGTTTTGAGCTGAGCCTATGTATTGTTATGAAATGATGATTAAACGTGTATGTACGGGCTTTAATTTTGTTGATTGAATGAAACAAATATGCTGAAAAAGGGTCTTTAAAGTTTTCTATCTTTTGAACATGCCTTAAAATACTTTTAAATCCAGCTACGGCAATGGTGATATTTCAGAGGAAGCATGCCACCGGCCCCTTTGCACTAATGCCTACACGTCGTTTTCTTTTCAAGCCATGCCCCTGTAACTGCCATGTCAACCCTTGTATCAAATTACACTTATTTCTTATTTCTTTACTTATATTTTATATTTGTTATGTTTCATTTTCTTTCGTTATTCTATAATAAAAAGCCTTTAAGAAAACAAAAACAAAACAAAAAACATTTTAGCTGCAATTGCATACGTCTATAATCTTTCACAAGATGTAAGAAATATAACCTGCATAACCAAAGCCCACTTAATGTCAAATCAGCTTCATTTTTTATCTTATATTTTGATGTCCATCATTTTAATACGTGTGTAATAGTGCCGGTTTATTATCAGTGGTTCAAGCTGATTCGGGCTGGTGCTCTGGACAGACTTTTAATATAAATGGCCAAATTACTATACGGACGACACGTGATCACAAATATATCTTTAAACGGCACTTTAACCAGGTTCTCTGAACTCTTAATTGCCAACCAGTGGCTAGGATGGTGGTGTAGGACGCTACCTTCAATTTACTCTTATTAAGAAAGTATAACACAAGACTTTATGAATTTAACACTACGAGATTTATTCAAACGATAATCATAGACTTATTTAAACGATAATCATATAATTTATTCATCAAAAGTATGAATAAGATTATACATTTAACCAGAATCTACCAACAACGAGTTATTTATTTAAAAAGAATTTCTAAGTTCTTATTAATAAGTAAAACCTAAATTCTCAAATCATATAGATTTAAAACAGAGTCAAAACTATTAAGTTTTGAAAGAGTGCCAAAACTCTAAAGCTTTGAAGTGAACTGACCTGTCGGCCAGTTCCCAAGCCAAGAAATATAGAAATTCACCCGGTATTTATACACTTTTGGTAGTCATGACAATGCTTAACTATAAGATTGATTGGTCAAAATTACTCATAACAAGTTCTAAACTAATCGAATGATTTCAATCAAGTCGACCAATGAAAACTATAGAATTAAACCGAAATCACCAATCAAATTAACTCTAACAAATAAGGTACGGAAAATAAGCGAAAAGGGCAATAAAAACTGAGAACGTTTACTAAAATGCAGCCCTATTACACGTGCTTTTAAATGTTTGTAGGATGTAACTCTGTGATATGGAAATTGATGTGATACTTAAGAACAATCGGAACATCTCGGCTTTTATCAATAAAAGCCTCGGACCTAATAATCTTAGTCTCAATGTGCTATAATCTCGAAGATATCCATATTACAATAATTGCTCTGTGATACATACAGTACATATGATTTAAAACTATGATGAGTACCATGTAAATTACCTTTATTTTGTGGACAAACTTGTACATAACTTTTTGTGTCACGCAACCAATGACAGGGACCACACCGGAAATGTATTTCCAATTGTTTGTGTACATTTTATTATTATAATTGCATGTAAATTGAATAAAGCCTCTCTGTTGTAACATGCGTTGATTCAATTTCATTTTGTATGTATCTTTCTGCCAATAATCTATCTTTCGTTATATAAAAGACATCAGAGGTTTAGCGATAGCTCTGGTAGTTTTAAGATCGGTAGTTTGTTTCTGTTCGATAAAAACTACAAGTATAATTGTAAAACAGTTCTAAGAAAATTAAAATCTCTGTCAACTTATTTATTTGACTATCGGTTTATCAGAGCTTTGTTGGAATAGACCCAACCAAAATTCGTTTGGATTTTTTTATTACACTTTCTAAGACCCAAACCATCAGTCATGTCATCAGCGAACATGGACAAAACTAAAAAAAAAACACCTAATAAGAGAGCAAAGTCAACGTTGTTCTCAAAAAGTCTTAACTTTTCCAAGAGCAATGAAAATAGTAGAGGTGGCATGCTTCCCCTTGACATAAGTGAATTATATAGTCATTATAGAATATGTAAGCTCCACTTTTCAAGACAAACATAAACAGGAGCTATTTTCAGGACCCTCTCGTCGTTTTAACTTTTTCTGAAAGGTCCATTTTCTCAGAAAAAAATTAAAGTCATTTTCTTTAAACTTGGTATAAATGTTTATTGTCTTCAGAGAACTTTATTGTATTTTGGAGAAACACGCGTGCAAAACAGTAAAAGTGGAAATTTGATGCTGATTAACCTTGCCTTGCAAAATGTATTATGTGTCAAAAAAACTTAAAAGTCCATTTTCCTTCACCTGTTACCGGTATGTAAAATCTGGAAATTTTGAGTAAAATTCCCAAATTACTTACGCATTCGAAAAAATTTCCCTTTTCATATGTGATTTTCTTTGTTGCCATACTTCATTACCTAATTATAATAGAAAGTTGCAAACGTAATACCCAGGCTAATAGATTCATAGCCGATTTTCAAATGTCACGGAGGTCCTGCGATGACTCTGAAGATGTCCTAGAGTTCTTATGATAACTTTTATTACTGCCAGTGTGTTCCTTGTGCTAAGTTACGGCACTTTTATGGTATTTTATTATTCAAATTAACCAAGTCGGAAATTTCGTCAACAGGTGTACTTTGTACTTTCGGCTATCCTAAAACATAGTGTTCAGTATGTTAATAATTCACTTAGTACTTGTACATGTACAGTCGATCCGGTCACCTCTTATCGGCAGTTGCATGACCTAAATGGCCATTTAGTGATGTCTCTGTTCAGCGATCAACGGTCACAAAAAATGCTTCCCGAACCTTAAACTCGGCCATCTTAAGCGGTCGGCGGTCGGCGAGATGAAACGGCCAGACCATCTGTGGCTAATTTTTCAAGAATGAAACAACGCGTCACAGATAAACAAAACTACTTATCACGCGCCAGATATTAACACAAACCACAAAAATTCAAGAAATTGGCAAAATTGCTCATCCGTGTCATAGGAATTCTCATTGGAACGTCTGCTCGTACTTGCAATCCCGTTTTTAAAGTGGTTAAAACAGAATGTCTTTTGTTGTTTTTTTGTGGGGTTTTTTTTTTTTGTTTTTTTTTTTTTTTTTAGTTACGCTTGGTTATTTTATTTTCGTTGTCGTTGTTGTTGATTTTCGATTAACCGATTATATAAGAAGAAACAAAAGAGAAAAAGGCATGGTCGGATACGAACAGAAAAGTTTTGATTTTTTTTTCACCTGGATTCAGGTAAATTTCGTGAGTATATGGACTTACCAAAAAATGAAAATGAATTTCATCGCCGATGTGCTTAATTCCATAGTCATAAATATATAAAAACACTCGCTCACATTTGTGAAAATAAAATTGCATAAAGATGATGTTGTTATTGGTGATTACACACATAAAGATTACACACAAGATGACCTCTGAGAGGTGGTTCTTAAAAAAAATCGTAAAAAAAAAAACGGTTGATGTTTACAAACATGTAGCCCATGCATGTTAATCTGAATCATCAAAGAAAGTGGGGAAACTTCCATGAACAGAATCAATCAAACCGAGCCTGCAACATTTTCAATTTTAACGTGTTGGACTTTTTTTAGGGATTCTTATTTTCTCTATTTTATTTAGATGACTTTCACACATTGTTCTTTTGATCAAAAACGGTCATTATTTTTGTGAGAAAACATTAGGCATGAAAAATATTTGTTCTTTTGTCGGATAATAAGTGTCAATTATTGACATAATAAATCGAAAGTGCATTGTTCATCTGTGTTACATTCATGTAAAGCTTCATGTTGGAAGAATTCGCATACATTTAAAAATGGTTAAAACTGATGATGATGATGATGACGATGATGATTAATCAAATCATTATTATCAAAACATATATTGATTTATTAAATTTAGGACTTGTATACACTCAATTACCTAGATAAAAAAAGTTTGCCAACTACAATTCCAGCTCCCAACAAACCCAAAGCTATGTTCCAATTCCGTTCCTTATTTTCCTTTTCCTTTTGTTGTTTTTTCTCTTCTTTGTCTCTTTCTTCTTTTTCTTCCATCTTCTTTCTCTTCTTCTCTCTTTTCTCTTTTTCCCTCTTCGCTCTTTCTTCCCTTTCTTCCTGTTCCCTCTTTGCTCTTTCTTCGCTTTCCTTCTTCGCTCTTGTTATTTCTTCGTTTACCATTGTTTTGATTTCAGTTGCTATTTGTTCCACCTGCTCATGTACAAGCATGCCGTCGTACTTATTCAGGTCTTGAGCACTTCTTCTTAACACTTCATCATGGCAGCGTAAATAATCATTATTGAAACAGGACTTTCCATCTTTCGACACTTGATCTATGTACTTTAGTAAAGTAGTGATATGCTCCCTGTTCGGATTCTTATTGTCGATTCTAACAACCCGTCGCCCACAGCGTTTTAGTAACTCGTTCACCTGGTGTGATTCCCGACAGGCATCGCGAAAATCGGCGTCTGTTACATCATTGTCAACATGAGTAACCACGACAATGGCATGATCTATATATTGCTCTCCGAATGTTATTGCCAACACATCCAAAACAGAAACTTCCTCTGCCGTAAATCTACTATATTTGATGACGATTAGAAACGCATGTGGTTCCGGGCAAAGTTTCAAAGAATCAAGGATCACTTCGGCTTGTCTAGCCACATTTCGATTTTGATTGGTGTCGAAGAATCCTGGGGTATCAACAATTTCGAATTGTCCTTTTTTCTCCACTTGGCATGATAGTGAAGAAGCATTGAATCCACCCCCTTCCTTAAAAAGTTTCATTCCAAGTAGGCTATTACCAAGTGAACTTTTTCCGTTACCAGTTTTCCCGACTATAATTACTTTTTTGATGTTTTGGGCCATTCTGGAACATAAAGCGTAACATATAAGATATTGATGAAAACTTAACAATTTATACTAAGTTGGTACGTTGTATTTACTACAATGATAGAGACAGTATTAACCAATAAAAAAATATGTTTTAATAAAGCTACTTGTACAAGATAATAAACGATAAACACACCAAAGCAGCGAAAGATAAAATACATGACAACATTTTTATTGCCTTTATCATGTTTGTTATTGTGAATTTCCAAATAGGTATGGAATATTTTTACTTAAATAAAAAAGCGCCTTCGCTAAAATATTACATTATAAGATAATGGTACACACTATATCAATAATTGAATTCTATTGTGTCGCGCTTTGGAGGTGAGACCTAGTCTGGCTAGCTGGAACCCATGTGTGGATGCTGCATTCCTTATTACTTGTCAAATCAATTTGGTCTATTCTTATTAAGCCTGCCAGTTTTTTAATGACACTATGTAATTGCACTGTAAGATCATACTGTCAATACCTTTAGTGTATAGAGTTTAAATATACATGTATATATTTTCTCTCTGTGTTTATTTTACATTTCAAAAGACACTGTATAGTAATTATCTTTTTTTTTTCAAATATCACATCTGAGCATAATATATCTTTAAGTCTTAAAGGGGGGACAGATTTTGTTGCTTGGGTTTGAATTATTCCGTTTTCATATGTGTGCAATCAATAAAATTGCAAGTCAGAAGTCTTAACTACGCCTTCGCCTGTGCATATAACATGTTCAAAAGGATCTTGTAAAACAGTCTATATTTCAAAGACGAATTACTAAAATAAATTTGGTACGCTTTGTTTGAAAACTGAAATCCTATTGAACATAAAATAATAAGACCTTGATGGTCAGGGTCAATTTAAGGTCACCCAAGGACGCATCTAAATGTTTGACCACAAGTCGTTTTTTACCAAATATAATTAAAATTAGTACATAAATAACAAGATTTTGACAATTAAACAATAACTTTACCTTAACGGTCAATGTCATTTAAAGCTCAATGTCAAGGTCAGTTAAACTGTTTCGAAGGTCTTGCCAAAATGTTGTTTTACCGTGTATGAAGATAATCCATTGATTGTTTACCCAATACCAATCAAAATTATAGCAATTATGAGTGAACTTTTAATATTCAAGTTCAAGGTCATACATGAGTCAAAGTCAATCTGAGTTTGATATTGATCAAGGTCCTGACCTTAAAGATGTTATGTTTAATATTTATGAAGTCAATTCATTAATAATTAACAAAGTTATTGCCCCTTACAAAACAAAATTAGAAAATTTAATTATTTTACCATGACAGTAATGGTCAATTAAAGGTCAAGGCTACATGTAAATCTTTAATATGTTTGTTTGGTATAAGTCTTGTTTTGTACAAATAAATAACAAATCCGTACATAAATAACAACTTTATGACAATTTAGCCAAAATTAAATAATTTGATCTTAATGGTCAGGGTCAATTAAAGGCGAAGGTCAGTTGAATTCATTAAAAGGTCTTGTCCAAAATGTTGATGTGTCCACATTTAAAGATAATTCATTCATTAATTACGAATTTACAGCTAACTATAGCAAAAATCAGTGACAATTCCATAATTCAACCCTCAAGGTCATAGTCGGTTTGATTATAATTAGATGTACATGAAGGTCTAATCCTAAAGAATGTCATGCCTTAATATGAAGTCAATACATTAATTAATAACAAAGTCATAACCAGTTAAAGTAAAAATAAATGAAATTTTCAGTTCAGTCTAACTTGTACATGCGACCACGTGTATTAAGCGACGTTTGTCGTATGCGACCACTGTAAATCCCCCGATCATTTTCTCTATATATCTTTAATGTATTAAGCGACTTTTGCTCAATGCGACAGGCGATCCTTGAGACCGATCTTTTCATCAAGCGACCACTTTTACATAAAGTGTTTGTGTTTTAAAAGAAAGCCGACTCGTGATTTCACACGTGTCAATAATCAAAACACAATATGTAAATGTGTAAAAAACTCTTGTTCCCAAACCGTTTTTAGTGTATGCAAATGAAGTAAATTATACGCGTGACGCATATTATCCAATAAAAACGATAGAACAATGCAATGCTCCGCACCTACTGAGATGGTGTATACGCTTCGCTGTTGATATTTAGACCGCAATGAATTACCATTGAATTTGATTAGCAGTTAGATTTATCGATACAATTACTTGTAGTTTTAATAATTTTAAATGAAAAATGCACACAAATTACATTTTACATGTCGGGGACAAGGTAAAGCAACGTTCAGTGAACGGAGCTTGAAAATTTTGGAAAAAATGTCAAACATGTACATAATTGATCAAAACTATTTTGTCAATAAATTACAGAAATTTTTTTTTTTTATTTTAGTATCTTTTTAGATGATCGGAGCGTTAAAATTATTAAACTTTATACAAATGCGCCTCCTATTGTTGAAGCTGAAAAAACTGCCCCATCGCCGAGGGAATATGTCTGGTAAACAGTTTTACTTTTTTTCTTAAGAAACTGTTTTGTTCAACGACTATTATGTGTGTTTCCCTTGCGCGGTCGCTTAATACAAATTTGATTGTTATTAGACCTTCAAGGACAAGTTCATTTATGAGTGACGGCCAAAGTCTGTCTAGCAAATTTAAAAGTATATCCTAAAGACTGTAGTGTTCTAGTTTGAAAACGAGTTATTAAAAAATAACAAAGGTATGGCCAATAAGCAAAATTCAATCAAAATTGATATATTTGACCTTGAAGATCAAGGTCATTTATGAATGAAGGTCAAGTTTAGTCTGGTCTACTTGAAGGTTTTGTCCTAAGGCTTGTTTTGACTAAATATGAAGAGAATACATTAAGAACTTAATAAGAAATGATCAAGGCTAAAGTTTGCGGAAAGTAAAGGCAACGTCAACGCCGGCATGACTTTAACAATACCTCTATTTTTCATAAAAAAAAGTCGAGCTAACATAATAATTAAATACTCATAATAGAATTACCCATCATCATGTTGATTTGTGGAGCAATTTAATCGAATTTTAATTATTACGTGGATAAGTGACAGCAGACATTTGAAAGTACTACGGTCACTGACTTTAAAGTATAAATAAACTTCGTACGTTTAGTTTTAAGAGATTTAAGATGCATGCATACATAATTGGCTCAATCAATGTTATAGCTTTGTGGAACTGGCGTTGGTAGAGATGATATAGTATAAATTTGGACGTGGACAAAAGACAGCATGTAACCAATGGTGTTAATAGATAAATGTTTGTTTGTGTTTTTTCAAATACGCTATCATTTTACATCTAGAAAACTAAGATAAATCTATAATCTTTAAGTCACCGTTTTTGATAAACTTGGCACATACAACATAATTATATTGACTTGAGATATACTTTGCTCAAAATTGATTAAAATATTGATAATTGTTACACGGACTATTTTTAGATATAAAATAAACGTTTTGAATGCATACGAAGTAGATATTTTTTGTTTCAAACTCCAACAATTTCACTTGACCTGTAATAGGGAACGCAGCTTCCCTACATAGTTCATTGTTTCATTAATTCCCTTCGGCATAGGATTAAAGGAGTGACTTCCGTCTATCACGTCCTTCCGTCCGTCCTTCTGTCAGTCCGTCCGACTGTCCGTCATTAACACTTTCGTGTCCGTTCAATAACTTTTATACCGCTGATTCTTTTTTTGAAATAACTCGGCACAAATAATCACCAAATAAGACGATGTGCATAGTACAATGATTTGCTTGTTATCCCCAAGGTCAAGGTCACACTGAAAGGTCAAGTATTTAAACATGCATTTCGTGCCGATCCACAACTTTTAAAACCCATGCAAAGTATTTGGAATAACTTGCTACAAGTGATCGCCATAAACAGTCGATATGCAGAGCACAATAATTGGGTTGCCAACCCCCAAGGTCAATGTCACACTTTTAGGTCAAAAGTTAAAAGTCTACATTTTGTGTCAGTCCATAACATTTAAACCGCTGCAAAAATTGGCAATAACTTCGCACAAGTGAGCACAATACTAACTTTATACGACAATATGCAGAGTTGCTACCCCCAAGGTTTTAGGTCAAGTGTAAAAAAGTATACATTTTGTGTCCGCTCCATAACTTTAAAACCTCTGAAAAAATTGAAATAACTTGGCACAAATGATCATTATCATGAGACGATGTGCAGGGAGCAATAAGTGGACTGCTTTCACAAAGTCAAGGTCACACTTAAAGGTAAAATGTTAAAAACTCTACATTTCATGTCCGCTTCATAACTTTTAAATCGCTGATTTTTTAATACACTTGGCACAAGTGATCACTATTATAAGACAATGAGGAAAGTGCAATAATAGGGATGCTACCATAAGGTCAAGGTCACACTTAAAGGCCAGTGTTTAAACGTCTACATTTCGTTATCGCTCATCGTTACCGCTGATTTTTTTAAACACCTTGGCAGAAATGGTCACCATTATGACATGATGTGCAGAACCTAACATCCAGGTTGCTACCCCCAAGGTCAAGGTTAAATGTTCTCCATAAATAATTAATATCATGAAACTATATGCTTGTAATATACAAGAAACAACATCAAGGTCAAGGTCTGTCATTTGTCAAGAAGTACATTCATGTCTGCTGCGGAGGGGGATTTAGCTGTCAGACTGCTTTGATTTACTTTATGATGAGGAAAATATATTTTTAAATTTTTGTAGCATCAGACCCTTATAACAGAAAAAGGTTCTTCCCTTGACTGAAATCAATAATTTGGACTGACAAAAAATGCCTCATTAATTGCTTCTAATATGCAAATTATCTATTATGTATATTATGTGCAACGAACAACTGTCTTTATATATCAATAACCCTTTTGTAATATGTTATAGGAAAGTTTCTTATTAACTTTGGATGGAGAATAATTACACGTACAGTCTTGTAAATATTTTTCTAAGGCCGGAACATTTTCATTTGAAACACATGTCTGACAAAGTGTTAAAAACTGAATCACTTTCATCGCATTTTTTCTGATGCAGCGATTGTCTAAAAGACACTTAGTTTTCTTTCTGTTATTTGAAAACTTAAAAACTTTTTTAAAATTTTAAGTTCAACATTGCTTTCTGAACATTGTGATTCATTATGACGAATTTTCTTAATGAATTACCTTAATCTTTCGTGAATTAAAAGAAGGGAAAGCACAAATTCTTACCTTGTGTTGAACTGTTAGAATAATTGTTATCAAAATGCGAATAATTGAAACTATTTGAACGTAAATGCATGAAGACAAATAACTTGTTAAGACACATTTGTTAAATTGTCGGTATAAAGTCCTTGTTTGAGACATTAAGTTTGTTTACATCAGGTTAAATAAATATTCTTTACAAATATTACCTATTATGCGAATCATGACATGGTAATATAAGGACCAAGGTGTCGCTAAATTGTTTTTTCTTTGTAAACTTTGTCAATGGCTGTGTAAAATATTTGCTACAGAATAATTAATATGTGAAACAGTGGATCTATTCGCGTATAATAATACTGGTAGAATCTTTTTAAAGTAGTCCCTTAATTATTGATTGATCTGAATAATGCTTTCAAAGTATTTTACGGGACAATCAAATGCCGTACTAGCTTTGCGTGTCCCGGCTTTCGCTTGCTTTGCTATAGACTACACTTGTATATTATTCAAACATCATTCATTTTTTTTAAAAATTGAAATAAAAAAATTATATACATTAATAAAATTTTCAGTGTTTCAGTGTTTTTAGGTTTTTTATTGGTTCATTTCAAACAACTTAACAATATATACACAAATTATAACAGTAGTCAAAGTACACACAAATTATAACAGTAATCAAAGTACACAATACCTACACGAATTGTTGAAAAAGGATTGGGTCTAAAAGCAGGGCTTCTCCTTATATATTTAAAATGCATAAAAGACGGTATGATACTATAAGTGACTTGCTTGTAATATACATGATTTTAATCCTTATTTTAAGTAATTAAAGTTAAGATTGTTTCTTACATTTAGTTATAATTTTAAGCAAAATATAAACAAATAATATAATATAGTATAGTTCTAACTTCTAGTCCGTCATCTAAATCTTTACAGAATATGTTGCACAAGTACGTTAACTGGTTTACTGTTGAGTCACCTGGTCTGTAGCCTAGCTCTACAGAAGAATGGAAGTTGTAACCTTGAAGAAAATTAAACAAATACTTAAAAATAATGCGTTCAAAACTTTCTCGACACAAACCAAAAAAAAGGAAATTGGACGATAAATATTGACAAGACATGGATCACCCTTTTTTAAAAAAACAGCCCAATCGTTGGCTTTTCTCCATGTCAATGGTACTTTACAAGTCTGAGGAGACTGATTGAGAAGCAAACATGTGGGAAATTTAATAAATGAGGCAGTTTCCCGCAATATACGGTTACTAACTCCATAAGGACCTGAATATTTGTTTGTTTTAAATGACAGCAGAGAGTCTTCAACATCCTGTAGAGCAATAGAAATAGGATAACGTTTGTTTATAGGCAAATTATTAACATTAAAGGGAAGTTTTTTATTAGAATTATTTAGCGACGACTGGCTACAGAAAAGGTGATTCAAAATTAAATATTTTAGATCAAAAACAAGTTTATCGTTTACTGTGTTTTCTGGCGGAGGAATGCTTTGTTTTTCAGTAGGAGAGATGAAATATTCCAAAAGTTTCCACCAGTCTTTCTGTGTAGTAGTGTCTGACTTCAGAGAATATGTCATTTGTAATAAGTGGTTATGTTCAAACGTGCGTATGACGGAGTTGTCGGAATTAGTACCAGTGATGCGATTTCTGCGAGTATTTGGCTCTGTGGTAATATGTTTTGAGCCTATGTATTAGTCTCCTTATACCTGTTGTCATCCATAGAGCATCGTTCACTTGTCTAGTCGGGATGAATGATTTAGATATTTTCAGGCTTTTGCTAGTAAAAGAGGAAGTATTACTATTGATGTCATCAGTTTTTAACTGATTCCATTGCTAATGTTGTTCCTTGGTCATAAAGCCATACAAGTCGTTGGTTGAACTTGGTAAGTGATTTCTTGAAAAAGAATAGAGAGTAGCTAGGGCAATAAAACATCTGATTTTGGTCTTGAATCGACTCTCGAAATCCTAAAGCAATAACGCTGTGGTCACAATATACAGGAAATAAATCAAGTAATGGGCTACTAAGATTTGGTAAAATATGTTGGTTCTGAAATAAGCTGTTTTACATTAATCGGCTGACATACACAATTGAGTTTTCGATTCATCTGTGATTAGAGTCATTGAAAATAAAGTCTTTCCTGACAAATATATCAGATATTCGAGTGTCAAGTGCTGACTGAGTGAGTATTCTATTAAATTAGTATAGGTGGAGTCGGAGTCGGAGGTCTATAGAAAACTGCAAAGAGGATACGTGAAGGCATTAATTCAATACAAATGCATTCAACGCCACTCAGTTCGGGATCAAATGAAAGGGCAAGCGTAATGAGTATTGCGAATAGAGTTGGACCATGGTAACATAAAAGTATGCTTGGTGGGTATATACTCTTGTGTTTTGCTTGGATTATCAGTTTGGCAAGCACTCGGTTTTTAATTATCACATTAGACATAACTTGGAGTATTACCATGATATGCATAAAAAAATTCCAATGGAGTAGCATAATTTTTGAGTGATCATGGGTGATAACAATGTGTTTTGCATTATGTAATTGCTGACAGGAACACTAGAAAAAGATTGATCAGGACCACGTATAAACATAGACTTGAACTTCATAACGCAATCAGAACTATTCCGAATGAGTGAATAGAAATGTTGTTAATAAATTTGAGAAAAATACATAGATAGACATGATTATGCATTTTTTTAATTGGATCTGATAAATCTCTAATGTTAATCTAAATAGTTATATAACTGTAATTAATTCAGTGAGATTATTTAATAAAAGTATATGTAATAATATTGTTAGTGTGTATACCCAGCGAAAAGTTTAAATAGATGGTTTCGATTAAACATGTTGACAATTAAATCTTTAGAAATTTATAGCAAGAAAAGCATTAATTCTGTAAAAATAATAGCAAGTTGTTACGTGAGATGAAATAGTAACAGAAAGTAGAAAATACTTAAGCCGTAGTAATAATAGAAAGTAGACATTTTTATCAGAAAATAAAGTTTGTTAAAAGTATAAGCAAGAAGTCACACGCAACTCTAGTTACATGTATAATGGTAAGTGGTTACTTTACATTACACGGAAAAATTGCAAGTAGTAAATAGATATTGTAGTAATATTACATACCAAGTGGACACTTTAAATTTAGAAGAAAAAAAGTTAGCAAGTAAACACATGAGACTATTGTAATCAAATAATCATATAAAACTGTAGAAAATGTTAGTTGTAACTGTAGTTATTATATCAAACAGATATCTAAAACTGTATTTGATTGAAACCCAATGATAATCGGCGAGGTTTCCCGATAAAGGAGCAATTGAAACTTTTCGGCTATGGAATAATCGTTGAGATTTCCGACTGAAAACGGAAATAGTGCATAGAAATATCAGATTACACAACGAAAAAATATAAGAAATGGAAAATGAACATAAACAATATCCTGATGTATCTGACAAGATTACAAGTTGAACTATGTCAAAATGTTTACCCTATTTACAAAATGGTGTACAGGAGTACCCATGCCAGGCTTCGGCAGTTCAAGATTTATTTATCTGACTTCAAACGAATTCACCTATTTTCATCGTAGCAATTAAATGTCGACCTAAGTAAAACAATAAAATGGTAACGTCTTGAATGTATGAACATCTAAAACTTAATCATGTATTATTATGACACTGCACGTTTGTAACGTCGCTTTTCGTTGGATAATCCTGTGACGTTTATATTAGTAGTTATTAAGATTCTTGACAGGTTATATGGCCCAATATAAACGGTTGTTTGTATATAAAACACGTGCCAGGCGATGGTTATATTACAAACAACCGTTTATATACGGTCATATAACCTGTCAGGAATATTTATTACGAATTTATAATACAGCAAACTTCCTTTTTTAGGGGAAAAATGTGATTTCTGTATAAAAATAAATATATTTACGTTATTTATATTTCTGACAGGCTCCAAAGCCAGTCAAAACATAGCATAGGGTTAACAATTCAAAGAATTAAATTAAGAAAACGGAACGTAATTGTTTTATTAAAACATAAAAGTTAATTTTGTCACTTTTCTGGAGATAAATAGAGAGGTTTCTATATTTTGTAATGAAGCATGCAGTCATTGCCCCTGTTTATAGGAAAGGCCCGAAATGTCAGCCTAGTAACTGCAGGCATATATCATTAACATGCATTGCCTCAAACTAATGGAGCATATAATTGTCTCCAATATCGTGTCTTTCTAGCATAAGCATGATATTCTCAGCAAATACCAACATGGTTTCAGGTCAAAACAAAGCTGTGAAGCCCAGCTTATCAGTTATATCCAGGAAGTTCATGATGTCATTGTCATGGACTTCAGCAAAGCATTTGATAAAGTCGACCATCACAAGCTTCTCTTTAAACTAGACAGACTAGGTGTTAGCTCAGAGGTCATTTATTGGACAAGGTAATTTTTGTATGGTATATATATTTACAACCTACCAGTTCTTTCTGGGACCTTGCCTTTTCTTATCTTACATAAATGACCCCCCCCCCCTGATAGTTTTAAGGGCAAAGTTAAGACATTTTGCAGACGATACAATAGTATACCTAACAATCAAATCAACCCAAGATGCAGAAACCATGCAGAATGATCTGAACAGTCTGACTGGGAATCTGATTGGTCCATGGAATTTAACCCAGATACATATCAGCCGCAAAAAGATCCAGTAGTATTCCCTTATAATTTACATGGTAAACAACTAAATTCCAGTGAGGCTGCAAAATATTTAGGTGTAACAATTAGTAAAGATCTATCTTGGACCAATTACTAGTATATAAACAACATAACAGCAAAAGCATACGATTATGACATTCAAAATGCAAATTTACCAAATGATACACTCGCCAAATCGATAATGTTGGCACCGATATAAACATACATAGATAAGAGTAAAATGGATTCAGCAAAGAATATAGCATCATTATTGAGATAATATCCTTACCAGAAACATGCAGCAGTGTAAATATTTCCATACATTTTTAAATGTACTGGCTTAGCATTTAATCAACTAAAGTAAGTTCAATTGAATACTAGTATGTAATGTTTGAGTCGTTTTATGTTCATCTAGCACTATATAATAGTGCATGAGTTCTATTTGTGCATATATAAACGCTTTTGCTCTTCACTTTGTTTATTTTGACGACAACGTCAATTTAGTTTAAGATTATGTTTGTAAATAAAAAGAAACTCTTGTAATCATTTTTCTAATTGCATTCAAAAAGATTATTTTCAGAAATATGCGTCGCATTGCAACTTTAAGTTTCTGAAACGAGATTTTACATATCAATCCGAGTCTTCTTCTTGTTCCATGGCACCATGTCCTTCAAGATCTACAATGTCGTACAACAGGAACCTCCTCGTACGTATTCCAATTTCAGAGCTTCCTTTCCGTCAGTCAGCCGTTTCACTGTCTTTATACTAGATTTGTTAATGGGATGTTTTTTCATTGCATCGAACCAAACCAACGTACTACTAAAAGTGTTCATTATTGCTTCTCTGTAAGTTTTTTTTCATATTTCTGAATACACAAAAGGGGGTTTCTGTTTGACATAAAAAGGCAGAGGCACATGAAATGGCACCAGGATTGTAGAGGAAGACAAAAGGGCGAAGGACTTCATGAGACTTCCGATATCGTCATCAAGAAACAAAAGATGTAATCTTTGTATAATGTGAAATGAATGTATTTAGGGTAAAGTCATTTGCCATTTGCGGTAAATTATAATTGAAAATTTATTTCTGATAATTAGAAACAATACAGTAATTCCCATTGTCAACATATTACAACTGTGTCCGAAATATCGTCAACAGGTATAAAGTTTGTACTTTTGGTTTCTAAACAAATAAGTGTCAGTATTTAAAAAGTGTACTTATTACTTGTTTATCTATTAGTTTACTAAATTAAGGACTGGTAATTTTACAATTTAGAATATACGAGTATGCCACTTGTAGCTCCTGCACCAAAAATTAAAACATTTTTTACTATATCCCAATACAAATCCTGTTCTTTTTCACTTTGATCTTCCTTTTCTTTTTCTTCCCTTACTTTTTTCTCTTTTTCTATCAATGTTCTTATTTCCTTTGCTATAATTTCAACCTGCTCATGAACAAGCATTCTGTCGTACCTATAATGATCAGCATGTCTTCTTAACACTTCCTCGTGGCAGCTTAGATAATCATTTTTGAAGCATGCTTTTCCATATTTTGATACTTGATCTATGTACCGGAGTAGAATACTGATATTCTTATCTTTCGGATGCATATTATCGATTCTAACAATCCGTTTCCCACAGCGTTTCAGTAACTCATTCACCTTTTGTGATTCCCGGCAAGCGTTCCTAAAATCGGCGTCTGTTACATCATTGTCAACATGAGTAACCACGACAATGGCATGATCAAAACATTTCTCTCCGAATGTAATTGGCAACACATCCAAAGCAGAAACTTCCTTAGCCGTAAATCTACTGTATCTGATTACTATCAAAAAGGCATGCGGTGCTGGGCAAAGTTTCAAAGCATCTAGGATTCTTTCGGCTTGTCGAGCAACATTTCGGTTTTGACTGGTGTCAAAAAGCCCTGGCGTATCAACAATTTCAAATTGTCCACGTTTCTCAAATTGACATTTCGTTGTCATAGCATTGAATCCACTCCCTTCGGAAAAAGACTTATTTCGAAGTAGAATATTACCAAGTGTACTTTTTCCGTTACCAGTTTTCCCTACAATAATTACTTGTTTTCTATTTTGAGCCATTCTGCAATATAAAAAGAAACATATTAAATATTGATGAAAAACTGAACAATTTATACTAAGTTGGTACTCAGTATTTGCCATCATGATAATGGCAGTATTGTCCAATAATTTGTTTTAATTAAGCTACTTGTACAACATAATACATGTAAATGCACCAATGCAACGAAACAAGAACGCATGAAAATATTTTTATTATTACATCTTTGTATGTAAGTTATTGTAAATGTCCAAATAGGTATGGAATATGTTTTAAAATAAAGCAAACACTTTCGCTTAACTCATATGATAATATAAAAATGCACACTATATCAATTAATACAACTATCTTTGTATAAGACATCAAAGGAAATCAAACGACCACTTTTTGGTACCTTACAATATTGAATGACAGAAATTATGTGAACGGAAAGCATGCAAATTATTGGATCAAAACATTATCAATTAATCCTTGATTTCATTTCACCAGCAAAAAAGCCATATCGCTTCTTTATGGTACTCAATATCTAGCCCCATTTTCATTTTCCGAGTCCAAGAAATCAATACCATATCACTGGCCTCTTTCTCATTTTCAGAGTCCAAAAAGCCAATTTCGAGACCTTATTGTACTAGAAGTAACACTGTTTAGTGAAAAAGTAAATTAAAATAGTAGTTTGCAATAATATGGTGTAATTAGACTTTGTTGAGAACAAAAACGATTCTCTTGCACTAATATGAAGAGTACTGTATGCGCAAATCCTATTTAAGACCAGGATAGCGTCTCATCCACTAAATATGTTTGACTGCTGTATAGTTGTACAGAAAAAATCAGTATTATAATGAACAACGTATAATATTAGTAGGGCGGGTTAAAAAAGGTCTGTGCAAATGGTGATACAAGCATGAAACTTTTACGAAATCATTTTTAGACCATGAAAATTTCGCAAGACAAGTGGGCCAAAAATTATATCTGCATTTTCAAATTGACGTCCATTTGACGTACATAATAGCTCATTCAGTCAATCTTTTTGTACAGACCTGAACCATACACTTAAGAAGTCCATGAAGTTGGCAAATAGATCGACATTGAACATTTAGCTCAACATCCGATTTATCGATGTTGAGATGGGATTGGAAGCTGGCAAGACATTCAGCAAAACATTCAGCTCGACATTCGTTTTATCACTGTTAAGCTGGAGATTTTAGTAATTACTGTTTTTGTTTATTTTTTTCGAGCTGGGAGGTGAAGCTGTCTAGACATTCAGCACAACATTCAACTCGAAATTAATTTTGTGTCTCCTTTTCGAATGTCGAGCTGGGAGTAGTTGGAGCTGTCTAGACATTCAGCACAACATTCAGCTCGAAATTAGTTTTGTGTCTCCTTTTCGAATGTCTAGCTGGGAGGTGGAGCTGTCTAGACATTCAGCACAACATTCAGCTCGACATAACTTTTTTGTCTCCTTTTCAAATATCGAGCTGAAATGTGAAGCTCGCTAGACATTCAGCACAACATTTAGCTTGTCGTTAGTTTTGTGTCTTCTTTTTGAATGTCGACCTTGGGTGTGAAGCTGGCTAGAGATTCAGAGCTTAATTCAGATCGTCATTCGGTTTTAGCTCCTTCAACTTGAAATTCGTTTCTGTCACATATTTGAATGTTGAGCTAAGATGTGAAGCTGGCTAAACATTCAGCACCACGGTCAGCTGCTCAACATTTGTTTTTGGTCTCCTTTTCTAAACTGGCCAGAAATGCAGCACAACATTCATCTCGTCATTTTTTTATTATTTTTTTTTTAGGTTTTTTGTCTCTTTTTTGAATGTTGATCTGTTATGTAAAGCTGGCTTGTCATAATATCATTATAACCGTCGGCTGGTTCATTTCTTGCTAACACTTTCTCTGGCAATTTTTATTCTTTTATGGTTTTAACAGTCCAAAATCTTAAAAGTAGACTTAGTGAACAAAGTCTTCCATAATTTAATTTTATAAACAAATATAACATACATTTATGTCATGAAACGCCATTTTTGTTGAATCAGACATTTTTAGCATAAAAGGAGTTCTTACAATAAAAAATTGATAAAGTCCGATAATTATGCCTCATTAACTGCTTCTAATATGATAGCTATCTAGTTTCTTCATGCATTTTGTGCATTGAACGATTTTGCTGTACCTAAATTCCCCGTTGTTAAATGAAATATTAACCTTGGGCCCTGATAGCTATACGGAGAAAATAGATTTGTTTGATAAACTTGTTAAACCAATGTTATTGTACGGTTGTGAATGCCGGGGGTATGGTTATAACAGTATAATTACTTGATAAGGTATAATTGAAATATCTTGAACAGACATCTTGCCTTAAATCTAGTACACCAAACTGTATGGCGTACGGCGAATGTGGTATTTATATTGATTGTAGAATTATAAGTTTTTGGTATAATCTAGTTGTACCCAATGAATTAACTCTCGTATCCAGGACATTTTATTTAATAGACAAACATTTTTGTGGAGTAAGCATATTAAAAATTTACTTGTTAAATGTGGAAACCCCAATGTATGGACCTATTAGATGTTTCCTAATCATAAGTGGTTTGTTGCTAATGTGAAGCAAAAATTGTCAGATTTATTTCTAAATGACTGACATGAAAAGCGGCGTATGACCCCCAAGTAAAAGAATGTGTGTGCCCTAAACGAGAAAGCAGTGGGCGGAACAAAATAAATGGTATTTTGAAAGGGGTCAGCTGTTATGAAGTCTGTATATCACAGATAAGACGACAAAAGACAAATTTAATCAAAGGACTGTAAGCTCTGTGGTATTTTCTGATCTTTGCAATCTAAATCGAACTGTATATCTGTAAGTTTTTTCCTGTATAAGTTTATTTTAATATACTATAAGTCATCTTACAGGGCACCGAGATGCAGCGACTGCGTTTAGATGTTTTACTATAACAGTTTGGGTTTGATACATACGGAATTTTGCATGACTAGAGTTGCATCAAAAATCATTTATGTTCATTTTTATGACAGCCACACTTGCATATCGTGGCTACTTCCTTAAAAAAGACACTTAAGAAAATCAAAGCACAGAAGGCGCTGAATTTGTTTGGGTCTCAGAATGTAAGAAAGGTGCAGGTTGATATTCAATCCAATGTTTATTTGACTTTAACAATTTGAAAAAAATGAGTTACCTTTACTGGGATTTGAACTCCAGACCTCTCGCTTTCTAAGCGAGCCCGAAAACCCTTCAGCCACGGTGAATTTATATGTGAACGGGCTGAAGAAAACCATATTATTCTAAATTAGGGCTTGTAACGACTTTAACTGTTGTTTAACACAGATGTAAATAATCCTGGAGCTTACTATAAGCATTTATATTTATAAAGAATCAAAGGGCTGCAAGTTCTGTGGTATTTTATGATCTTTGCAATCTAAATCGTACTGTATATCTGTATGCATTTTCCTGTATAGGTTTATTTTTATGTATTATAATTCATTTTGCAAGGCACCAGAGTTTGATACATACGGAATTCTGCATAACTAGAGTTGCATCAAAAAATCATTTATGTTCATTTTTTACGACAGCCACACTTAATCCTTGCATATCATGGCTACTTCCTTAACAAAAACACTTAAAAAAGAATTTAACAAAAAAAAAGTTTCCTCGACTGGGATTCGAACTCGAGACCTCTCACTCACTAAGCCAGCGCGTTACCACTGTACCACGGAGAAGTTATACACAGAAAGTCTGAATAATATCAAGTCATTCTAAATTTAGAACTTCCATTGCATTTCGGGTGTGTAATCCTTATTAATTTCGAGGTATTTTGTTCAGGGTAAACCTGTTCTTTAAAATTGAAGTAAATATTTTAGCGAAAATCCTCTCGCCCAAACAGTCCGACATGTAGAATCTATATATTCCACTACTCGGTTTGTGTAGTATTCGGTAATAAATAGTATTTTCATTGATAAAATCATATTCATCCGCGTAATTTGTGATTGTGCATTTATTGACAATTCTATAAGCCAACGCTATTGTTTAACTTTAAATTCGTTGTAATTTGTTGGATACTTGTAACAAAATAAAATATTTATTTCTTTTAAATCGCTAGTTTTAAGCTGTTATGAGAACTACTTGTTGTTAGGTTTGTTGTAAACTTCTGTGTCAGAGATTGAATGTCCGCTTTGTATTTAGTTATTTTCGATCAGAAAATACAATAAAACAATATTAAAAATCTTCGACCATTCGGGAATTACTTTGCTTGAAAATTGATGCGCCTGTCTTTGACCATCTTTACGCAGTGATCTCCCCTGAATTTTTCGGCTTTAGTGTACATACAAAAGGGAAGTAACCGCTTCAAAAAAGTGGACTACTTTCGGCATTTGCAATTAACAACATTAGACTCTGAAATTTCGCTACCATTATTTGTTTGGTCTGACGACCCAAACAAATAAAAATAGTTGCCTCGACTGGGACTTGACCTCTCACACCCTAAACGAGCACGTTACCCCTGCACCACGGGGAAGTTATACGAATCACATAATTCTAAACGTAGAATTTCATTTTAGGTTTGTTATCCTTATTAATTTCGAGGTATTTTGTTCACGATAAACCTGTTGTTTAACACTGATGAAAGTAATTTAGCGGAAATCTTCTCGTCAAAACAGTCCGACATGTATATATTCAACTAATCAACAGTCAGATTTATTTGTTTACTACGCGCTGAAGTATTAGGTAATCGACATCGCTAAAAAATAGCATTTTCATTGATCAAAATTATATTCATCCGCGTAATTTGTGATGGCGCATTTATTGACAGTTTATAAGCCAATGCTTTGAATGCGTTGTAATTTGTTGAATACTTGTAACAAAATAAAACTATTTTTTTCTTTTACATCGCTAGTTTAAGCTGTTATGAGAACTACTTGTTGTTAGGTTTGTCGTGAAATTCTGTGCCAGAGATTGAATGTCAGCATTGTATTTCTTGATATATGCGATCAGAAAATACAAATAGCAGGCAACATATCC